AAACCCCAAACCCCAAACCCTAAGCTGTGGAGCATAGCCCGCCCGCAAGGTCAGAGCCTGAGATGATCATCGTCAACACCGCTCAGCTGCAATAAGTTTTTTTGTATAGTAAGGTGTTTGAAGAACAGAGGATGAGTGGTATCAAGAGGATTCTATCCACTCTGTTTCTGCTGCCACGTGCCAGCGTTGTGGCAAAACTGGCCACGTTGACAAGGACTGTAAAACAGACCTTTCCAAAGTACAGTGTTTTAATCGCCCCCAGTACGGTCATATTGGTGCTAGATGTCCCAAGCCGAAGTCTAAAGCGAAGCCTTCTTCCGAGACTTGCAATCAAAGTGGCAAAGCTACTGAGACGAACAGCGCTGACAAAGGGAGTGGCAAGGGCCCCAAGGGCCGCGGCAAAGGCAAAGGCCCGAAAGGCCGTGGTCGTTCTGGCAAAGGAGGCAAGAAGGGCAAAATGCATGAGGTGACGGAAGACGTTGAAGGTGAATATGGTGCTGAGGATGCTGGGACTTACGAGGTTGGCGACTACGAGGCGGAAGAAGCTGAAGCAAACAGTTTGCTTGTGATGCCTGTCCTCTTGGATGAAGAAAATGTCCAGGTCCCTACCACTTCTTTGTTTAGTCACAGTGCCGAAGGCACTATGTACAGGTACCCTTCGCTTTTTGATGCCTTGATGGTGCCCCAGGTTGACGCAGATGACAGCTGGTCGTGGTGGCTGCTGGATTCTGGTGCATCCGTCACAGTGATTGCCGGTCACTTCGGGCTATTATGCTTTGTCACACATCAAAAATGCTCAGAAGGGTAGTTTTTCTGCAGCCAATGGATGTGCGGTAGACCTGCAGAAACATGCGCGTGCAACTGCTGCCTTCGAAGCGGTCAAGAGCTTGGACTCTGAACAGACGGTTGCTACAAAGTTTGTGCTCAACTGTTTTGTCGGTAAGATGCGGCATAACATCGTGTGCGTTCCTCAGTTGATGAAGAATGGCTGGGAGATCCATTTTGTCAACGATGGTTGTTTTTTGAAGCACCATACCGGTGTCATCATCTGTGAAATTGCCTGGTATTGCGGGTGTCCTTGGTTGAGGGCTGTGGCAGTTGCCGAAGGCACTGCTTCACCCCAGGGTTTTCCCCTGTGCTAACGGCTTCAGGAACCGCTGAAGAGTTTGAAATTGCTTCGAACGGTTCTGCAGCTCAGCCTGCTTCAAGCAGTGCTGTGGCTGAAGCTGCCAAACGGCGTGATGAGCGTATCTCTAAAAGAGATGACCGAAAAGATATCTCCTCTGCCAAGCGTGTGAACTTGTCAACAGACTCCCTGTTAAGTGTAAAGGGGTTCAGTGCCGTGTATCTCCGGATACTACTTGCTAGGAGGGTTTGCAAGTTTCACATAAACCCTAAACCCCAAACCCCAAACCCCAAACCCTCAACCCATCACTAACGCCTCAGATTCCCGGCCTGGGGGCTAGGCTAAAAGGGTTCCCTTACCTAGGATCTATGAATCTACGATGTAACTTCGTTTACAGTCTATAGGGTTTGGAGTTTAGGGTTTGGGGTTTGGGGTTTAGGGTTCGTCGTTTCGGGTTTAGGGTTTAGGGTTTGCGGGTCTATATAATTGCCAATCGTAGGCCCTAGGGCTCCGATTAGTAATAAATATTATACTTCATGCGATAAGAACCCAAGAACCGTCTTCTAGTTCTACTCATTCTCAGGAACCGATGGTATCGCTCTCTGGCGGACCACGGTCCTGTTTATAGGCTTACCGGCGAACCTACTATCTGTGTAGCCGTAGCCATCGACGCTAGTCACCCCTAAACCCCAAGCCCTAAACCCCCGAAACCCTAAATCCCGAACTGCTTTTCTGCCGTCGGCTCTGAGCCAGCAACGTCAAATTTCTTCAAAGCCCCAACCAATCCTATCCTTGACACCGCCGGCCTTGAGCCAATGCTTCGACTAACCCCAACCTTCACCCCAAGACCTAACCGCCGAGAAACTCAACCTTAAGCCCCAAACCCTCAACCCTAACCCCTCAACCCTAAACCCTAAACCCTAGTAAAGCCAAACCCCCTTAACTCATGAGCCCTTGCCCCTTCAGCCCCTGATCTTTTCTGCCAACTTGATCCGCAAGCTGCGAGCTGCGGCCGAAGAGGTCTGGGTCTCAGGGTGTTTCAGAGCTTGGTAGCAGTTTAGGTTTTATGGAGCTTGATGGAAGTTTAGGCTTTAGAGTGAGGGATCTTGATGGCACTTTAGACTTTAGGGATTTTGGTAGCAGTGTAGGGTTTAGAGTGAGGGATCTTGATAGCAGTGTACGGTCTAGGCTTTAGGGACCTTGATAGCAGTGTAGGCTTTAGTGTGAGGGATCTTGATCGCACTTTAGGGTTTATCGCGAGGGATCTTGCTAGCAGCTTAGGGTTGAGGATGAGGGATCTTGATAGCAGGTTTAGAGTGAGGGATCTTGATAGCTTTTTCGGGCTTCCATGTATGTAAGAAAGCCGAACCAGCTAGTTGCACCATGATAGCATCCAGAAGCTTGCCTAAATCATCAAGGCCCCTACATTACACGAGCTTTTAGATCCCTAAACCCTAAAGCCTACACCCCTAAACCCTAAACCCTACACCCCTAAACCCTAAACCCGACCTAAAGCCTAAATCCTAAGCCTTAAACCCTAAACCCTACAGCCTACCCTAAACCCCTACACCAGCCTCCAGGTCCCCAAGCTGAGTCCCCAATTGCCTCGCAGGGCCATGGACGGGGCCAAGGCCTGCTCGTCTTTGTTTACTTTGGGTTAGGGTTTAAGGGTTTAGGGGCTTTGGGTTCAGGGGCTTTGGGTTTAGGGTTTAGGGCTTAGGGTTTAGGGTTTAGGGTTTAGGGGTTTAGGGGTTTAGGGTTTGGTGAGGACTGGGTTGGTTTTCAGGGTCTCGACCGGAATGCTAAAGCCTAATGAAACGCGAACCCATGCCCCTCAACATGCAAGCTAAACCCTAATCCCTACACCCTGGACCCCAAAACGGAGGCATCGGCATCTGAGTTACAGGTCCAGGTCTAGGGGTTGAGACTTGCAGGATCGAAAACCTACAAACCGTAACGCCCGAACTGGCCCGAACCCGTAGAGTTTAGGGTTTAGGATTTAGGGGTTTGGGTTTAGGGTTTAGGGTTTAGGATTTAGGGTTTAGGGTTGAGGATATAGGGTTTAGGGTTTAGAGCGTGCGCCCAAAGCGATTGGATTGTTTGTACAATGTAGGCTATCGTTATCATTACCACCGTCACCTCCATCATTTTCCTCGTCATCCTCCTATTCGGTATGGTCGTCGCCACGATTCGTACGGCCACAATTTGTCCTTGTTGCTGCCGTTTGGGTTCTCACGTTTTGCTTCGGCTCTCTTGCACCTCTTGCAGCACTGTTGCTGCCAGAATTAATTTCCCTGTTGCTGATGGTTCAAATTCATCAAAGTTTAGCGGTTGCGCTGTCAGACGTGTCTTGTAGCCACTTACCGCTTACTGGTTGACATCTTGCGCGTCTTTTATGTCTGTGCCGCGGCAGTATGCGCTGCTTGCTATTTCTACGCAAGTGCTTGAAATTCTACGTCCTGTCTGAGCCCTATCCCAGCCTCATTGCGATTGATCTGAATGTCGAGGATTAAGGCTCTCCGTCTTGGTTGAAGGGCGTGGTCGTATAAGGTAGCCCATGCTGAGGATAACAGGACCTTACCAGGAGAAGCATAGGATTCGATACAATTCGGATCATCTCACTGCCCCTATTGGGGTCCATCTCATCCGCTGGGTTAGTGATATCTAATGGCAGTAGCTCATGTGTCTTCCCAGTCCTGCAGCCGCATACCTTGAACTAACAGCTGAGGGCTGGGCCAAACACTTCGTCTTGAGGAGTACCTAACCCGCAGGCTCGAACTACACCAAAAGCCTCAAAAAGCTCAGAGCCTTAGAATTTGAGTCCTTCCGAGCCCTATAGGGCAATGAAAAGGGCACCTTGCACCAAGAGCAGACTTGGCAGGAGGTATCTTGAGCCATTTCCAACCCCCAAGCTTGAGGCTCGAAGCCCTAAATCCCTAAATCCCTAAACCCTAAACCCTGAAAAGGAGTTCAAAAACAAGCACCCTAAACCGCTAAACCCCTAAACTCTCAATCCGAAACCCCTAAACCTTAAACCCTCAACCCTATACTCCTAAACGCTACAACCCTCAACCCTAAACTCCTGAACCCTAAAAATCGGAATTGCAAGTGCTGAGTGAGACCTTTGCGTGCTGTCGGCTCCAAAGAAGAGCGAGAGGATTGCGTGAGGAACAGGGCTTCGACTTAGTGCCGGGATGGGGTTTAGGGCTTAGGTTTTGGGGTTTAGGGCTCCGGTTTCATGTGCATGCATAGAGATAGAGCAGATAGATGAGACATAGAAGTCCCCGAACGTCCAAGTACAAAACCTGGTCTTGAGCTTTCCCAGTTGCCCCAGAAGCCCGAAACAGTGTTGGGCCAAGGAGTTGCGATGCAGGCTTCAGGCTTGCACAGTGTAATATAGGAGCCTGATTAAGACACCTTGTGTCTGTATCTGGGTCTTTGTATGGATCCTAATATGTTTGGGGTTACAGGACCAGGGTTTCAAAGTCAGGTTCCTCCATTAGTGTCACAGCGCACCCTCTCCAGAGATTCGCCTTAGGGCAAAGAGGTGCCATGGAGGAGGCCGAGGGCGTTCAGGGTTCTATAAATTCCTCAGTACCCAAGACACTCTACTATTTTGGGGCCATACCTCAGGAATAAAGAGCCCTGAAAATCTAGGTTTCTTAGGATCCAGATGAGAGCTATTATGAGGGTTTAGGGTAGGGCGTTGAGCTTTGCAGAGTCAGGCGGGAGGGGCTTGGTTCGGGTTTTGCAGTTACTGCCAACATGGAGGACACTTTTCAATCTTCTTTCCAGTTGTTCGGGGCTTCGACCCTACATGTTACAAAATCCTCAGCCCTGACCGCTGGTGCAGGGTTTTGGAGAGATTTCGGTTGTGTGGGCTTGCAGCTGAAATGGCTCCCGACTTTGTTCTTCTTATTGTTAAGACCACGTTTCACGAGTAGTAGTGGTAGCAGCAGCAGCCGCAGCAGCCGCACGAGGGAGGAGGAGGAGAAGGAGGAGGAGGAGGAGGACGATGAGGAGGGAGGAGGGAGGAGGGAGGAGGGAGGAGGGAGGAACCGGCGGCGGTCGCCACCATCATCATCATCATCTTCATCTTCATCTTCATCTTCATCTTCTTCTTGTTCTTCTTCATCATCTTCTTCTTCATCTTCT